CGGGCGGAGGCTGGGCCACGTGCCTGTGTACTAGAGGAGGGGGCGACGGTACAAACCCGACGCCAAGCCCGCGCGCGAGTCCCTCGGGTCACCAGTCCTGTCCTTCTCTGCGGAAGAAGATGTACTGGGGAGACCGCGTGGAGGACAAGGGAGCCGGCCTGAGAGTCAAGGGCTGCTCTTCCCAAGTCTGAGCCAACCCACCCTCTGCTCGGAATAGCATCCTGGCTCTGCGCGGTAACCAATGCTTAGTAGACCCCAAGTGAGATAAAGCTGGAAGAGCTGGTGCCAGGCGGCCGGTTTGAGCCCTGGCTCTGTCACTTACCAGTTGTGCGACTGGAGGCAAGTCCCTTATGGTCCCAGAGCCTCCGTTCTCTACCTGTGAAAAGAGAACAATGAGCGTCCTCTCTTTGGATTCTGAAGATCAAGCATGATCACGGATGTAAAGCGTTCAACTCAGTCTGGCACACAGTAAGCCTCGAATAAATGCCATTTATTGCATTTTAAGCTCCCTCTCTGGTGGCAGGGGACACTAACCTGAGCTCGAGCTTCAGCTTGGAAAGTCTTTGCTCCCGGCCCCCTTGGGGATGCCCTCCTTGTCTCCCTCTTTCTTCCTCCCACCCATCACCCCACTGCCACCCAGTCCATCCAACTCAAGCGATCCACCAGGACAGAGGCGATCTGCTCTGAGGGTTTCCCGGACTGTGAATGTGGACAGAAGCAAAGGGCCACATCTTTCTCCCATGTTGGGCACGGTGGGTTATGACCCTCTAATTCTGGTTGGTAGCACAACTTAACCCCCTTGAGTTCCTCTGCCAGCGCTCAGCAGGGCTAAACAGGACAACTTTGGATAGGAGAGTCTAGAAAAGTCTATGGACTTCACTTGGGCCAGCAAGGGCAGTGTGTGAGCAGGAGGGTAGGTAGAGGCTGGGGGTTGCTGCAGCAGCCAGCCCTGCTCTGTGTGGCAGAGAGAGGCCTTTCAGGGTGTGCTGAATCAAGGGAGGTGGAGGTGCGCAGTGGAGCAGCAGAAGCCAGGCCTCAAGCAATGTGACAAATATTTTGATGGAAGCAGACACATCTCAGTTTATGCAACCTACACAGTTTGCTGCATTCGAGGTGAAGAAGCGCCTCACACAACAACACTGGGAGAGGGGCAAGAGAGCCCCCACCCCCAGCCAGGAGGCCGATGGGAAGAGGGCTGAGGAGATGGATGGGGTGAACCTGTCCTGGCGGCTGGCAGAGGGGCCTGCAACTCAGAGACGTCTTCTTAGTCTCAGAAGGAGAGCAAATGTGGAGGCGCTCATTTTCTTAGGATTCCTGCTTGCCCTGGTCTGAATCAGGGGTAAAGGGGGCTTGATCAGAGGATGATGGTGCAAGGGACCAGGAGAAAACCTGTCTCGCCTGGCCTGGAGCTCAATGGGGACCCAAGATCCTGGCCCTTCTGGGGGGAAAGGTGGGTCTGAGAAAACAGTAAGGAACCAGAAGAGGAGGAGAAATGGGTTCACTCAGGAACCGGCTGGGCACCACCCTGGCAGGTGGACAAGTCTCGGGACAGGTGAACTGCAGGGCCAGGGTGCCTGATACCCCCCCCCCACCAACCTCGCCTCCTTTTGCCATCTCGTCTCTCTTCTAACTTCTTACAGCCTTCCCTTACCCCTTCCAGCTCTGTCTTCCCCTCAGTCGCTCTTTGTCCCCAGCAGACCAGGGCCACCCCTCCTCGTCTCCGCCTCCCTCCATCCCTCTCGGTTTTCCTCGCGACGAACCCTTGCAACCACTCTGGGTCCTCGGCGCTCTCTAGCTCTCCCTGTGGCCCTCTCTTCTGTGCCCTCTTGGGTCTCTACTCTTCCTTTTCTTCTGGGAGCCTCTCCCTGGTGTTCAGCTTCTAGCCTCCTCCAAATCCCCGGTTTCGGTCTCGCTCCCCCAGTCTCCCTCTGCTTCTCACGGCTC